GGAATACTTTTTTAACGGAGATGTTTTTATTTATTTCTCTTGTGCAAAAAAACACCTTTTTTCTTTCAGCAGAGTTGGTAAATGTTATGATTTTTAAATCTTTTCCATTATGGCATAAAGCACTCTTAAAAAGTCTTTAAAACTGAAGTTCTGAAAATACATACTTTGGATCAATGAACACACTTCAGTCCAATGTTGATATTGCAAATTCTCCATTACATCAACTATTAAAACAAAAGGTGCTTGAATAAAAAAAATTAGGATGGATCTTGATCTTGATCATATTCCAGAAAGGCCAAAGTTTTTTAAAGTTCTGAGACTGCATAGCTCTACCAAGTGCATTCTACATTGCTCTGTAGATGGACAATTTTCTACACAGGATGTAGAAATGAGGACCATTATGATAAATATGACAAGTCCCATAAAGTGTAAAAGAATAGAGCAAAAGTGAAAATCTCTTGACAGTCCCATCCCAGATTTTCACAATCAGTAGATTTAGGAACTTCCTGAGTCACAAGTTGCATCAAATGCATTGAAAACCCATATATTTAGTGGTTTAAGTGCATCAGAGTTGAGTTCCTTTATGAGTCTTAAATGAACTGCTTCTGGTCATGTTAATTTTTGTGGTTCATATTTATCAATTTGTTCTGAAAACTCTTTTGCTGATTCTTACATTTGAGATGATTTTTAAAACCCAGTTCCTATAAAGAATGTCTCCAGTGTGGGGAATCCCTCTGACTACCTGTGGTTTAAAAGCAGTGCAAAATTTCTGCAGTCACTTTGTCTTCTGGAGTCCTCCTCTACACCTTGATATTCTTTTCATCCAGCCCACATCCTGGCAGGCTTTCTGCCTCTAATATGTTTTTATGTCCTAGAAATCTGTTCCTCACAGTCTCTCTGGCAGGACTTACTGGTATTTTACATTCAACTTGCACGTCTTTATGCTCTGTTTTGTTTTTAGTTTCCTCACTTGTTATGATTTCCACTTTTAAACAGTATCTCATGTATTTGTAATAGCCTCTTTTATCAACTGCTCCTGGGGTCCTTTCTAAGTGACTTTTTTCTAGTGCAGTAAATGTGTCTATATGTGGTATTATGTGCTCTTAGACAGCCTCCAACTGTCCTGCAAGCATTTTATATCTGTAGCTGATCTTAAATTGTATTAATTAGCTTAACAGTTTTGAATGTACTTTTTATTTTCACAGTTAAATGCTACCGTGGTGAAGTGTTTGTCTTTTAAAGACAAATGCAACATTGTCCTGCACAATAGACTAAAAAAAGCTTTCCTCTCACCAATGTCAGCAAGAAACAACATCCTGTGAACTGCTCTCAGGATGGTAAGAGTTCTTTTTGATATCTTCTCTCTTCCTCTTGAGATCTCTCTCTCTCTAACAGAAAATGGTGGGCCCATTAGCTCTTTGCATCACTTTCACTGTTACATTTTCTCAACAAAGTTGTACGCTTTTACAGATCAAAGTTTCTGTGTTTTGTCTGTCTTAGCTGTTTTATGCCTCATTCATCCAAAAGCTATATATGAATTTGCAGCTTGATCCTAGAAGACACTGTGCATCCTCCTATGCAGAGACAGCATATCAAGGGACTCGATTTTTAGCTACTTCATTTTGAGAATTTGTGAAGTACTGGAAGATATCAAAAAGGAATGTTCTGTATAGGGGTGGTTTTTTTGTACTCATAGCATGTTTGAACAATTTTTTTTTAACTTTGAATATGTCAACAAAAAGCGGTAAGAGAAGTCAGGAATAGGAAGTTATTTGAGAAAAAGGTTGAGGATGTTTTTTGTCTAATCATTAACTTACCAGGCCACCAAAAGCTGAGAGCCAGGGAGCTGACAAGTTTTATTGTCTGGATTCACAATCATGGGGTTCAGAATGAGCTGAGCATTCACTGTCACAACAGGTCTGGCTCTGAGGGACAGAAATTAGGTTTACTGCACAGAGAAGGAACACATCAGTACCTAAGCTGCAGCAGAGAAAGCAACTAAGATGGCCACAAAGAAGCTAGGAATGTAGGGCTACCTGGGATAAAACACTTTTATAATGCTGCTCCTACCCAAAATAACTTTGTTTTTTTTGTCAGAAACTGTGATACCTCCTACTATGACATTTTGAAAGTTGTTCACAAAAATATTACAGGTTAACAGCATCAATGAAACAGTATTCTATAGTTAACAATAGGTGTGTACTGGGATTGAGGCACATCAAACACATTTAATCACATTGATTTTTCACAAAGGGACAGAGTCAGCCTTTTGGGATTTTCAGCAGTCCTTTTGCCACTATTTTATGCTGTCAGATTTGTTTAGAATATCTCCATTAACAGTGACTTATTCAGACTTGCTATCTCTGTTTTAGATTCCTAAAAAAATGAACATAATTTGATTAAAGTAGAAGTTGATCTAGAATATCTTGAGCCAATAATAAAGTAAACTTTGTCTGACATGTCTTGGGACAACTAACTTTGGAAACCAGGAATAATTATCACAAAATTCTGCTGAGTATGTGGTATCACTTGTGGTGATAGGAACCATCCCTCTGAATAAAAATCTGTTATTAAGTAATGAGATAAACTATAACTGAGAGCAATTTCGAACACAAATGAAAACAAGAAAGGGTCTAAATTCTGTTTTTTTAAGACAGCAGAACTATTTTACAATAACTTACATAATTCTGGCAAAAACAGATTATTACAAAGTTGCTTTCCTTATAATTTAATCCACAGATGAGCTTCTATGATACTGCTTTATATATAATGTCTTCATCAAGACATTAAAAAATAAAATTACTTTCTTAACTGCTGTGCAAAAGGAAAAACCTTTTTTCTATCAAATTTCAGTTAGCAAAATTCTGTTTCTCCAATATGACAAGTTGCCTATTTGATGCACTGGCCAGGAAATGGAAAGATTGAGGGTGTATTGCTATTCACTTTCTTAAATTAAATAGAACACATTTTTTATTGTTATCTAAAATATACACTGGATCTAATTCTCCAGTGTTTCACATCCTCTGCAGTCATTTGGGCCACTGCGGAGTGATGCCTTGCAAAGTACTTGCATGATTCTCAAAGAGGGTAGTAGGAAAATCAAGTCTACTCACTGCACCTACAGTCAGGTAAAATGAGCTAATGTTCCTGTTTTACAAAATTCTTATGCTTTGACAAACATTCAGTTGGGAAGCAGAACATGCCTCCTCTCAGTCAGATAATGTTGGGAGTACAGACAATAAGATGACAGACAGGAATCAAGAAATATGACCACACTGTTGCAGCAGTGGATGGTGACTATTTAAACACAAAGAACTGTCAGCATGGCTGGACTAAGAAGGCAGCAGTAGATTTCTGTTTATGTATTTGGTAGTTTTAATTTATACATCTAATCAAACTGCATTTAGTGAAAATCTGTGGTCAGCAACAAACAACCATTTTATGATTTGTAAAATGGGATCTTGTACACTTTTTCTAAACTGAAGCTAAGAGCAGCAGTCTTTATTTTCAATAAATAGTTCAAGTCTTAATGTGCATGACCTCTGAAGAATCTTGAAAACTGCTTACTATTACCATTTCCCCAGAAAATAAATTAATTTTCAATGTTATGCTTTTTAAATTTCTCTCTGATGAGCTGTAGCAAGAACTTTTTGAATGTATAGGAACTTGTGTGACATTGCTTTAAAGCTAGAAAAGATACCATTTTCTCTTCTTGTCTTATTTCAAATTAACTGAGGTGTCAAACATTCCAGAAGAAGCTTCTTGAGCTAAGACTAAGCATGGAAAGTTTCATTGAAAACGACAAGTTTTGAGCATGGGAAAAAAGCATTTGTTTCTCACAAGATGCTTAATTTATCATCTGTAATGAGCATCCTTTACACACTGCATCAGGGAAACACAGGAATCTGACATTTGTTTATTTGCAAATCTCCCACAAGAGCTGTAAAACAAAAAAATCCATTGTATTTACCACATACCTGTAAACAACTGCTTTTCCAGCTCCAAATGCACCTACAATTAAATCTGGAAAAACAAAACAGCTTCAGAAGAACTATATAGAATCTTCTAATACATTTTTTTCCCCAGCCTAAATTAGATTATTTATTCAAAAAACGCAGTAACATAAAACAAATGTGATCATTCCTATCTAAGTATTTTTTTCAATGATATACCTGAAAAAAAACATTTCACATTGTCAGAGATGGGCTCATAAATGTCTTGGTTGTATCTAATGAGTGCCAATCTATTTAACACAAGGTTAATGACCCATGCCACAGTCTCACTTCTCTACAACATCCATTAAAGGGGGAAAAGGATTGTCCATTACACAGAGAGATGCAAACCACTTTGTCATTGCTGTCGTACAGGTCACTTTGGAAACTTACAGTGTTCCTTCCTGACAATCATTCCCATCCTGCTTTGTCTTTTAAATAATTTGTTCATTAATTTAAGCATTGCATGTCCGTGTATATAAATACAACGCACAGGTGAGAAGATGGCTGATTTCATAGTTTTTAATGTTTTCAGCACTGTAGCAGCATGTGCTAAGGCTCACAACAGTTACCTCTCTGAGGCCCTCTTTTTCCCAGTCAGTCACCATTTGGACCAGATGGAGTCAACACCACAAGTGCTACTCTGGGCCCTGGGCACATCTCTGTCACTGTACACCGGCCTGGGTGGGGAATCTTACAGGCCCAAATATTTTCTCTTTTTGCCTGGAGTCCCCACACAGGGCTCTCTGGAAAGATCCAGAATGGCTTGCTGGACCACTCAGGCCTGCTGGAGAAAAGCTGTGGCCAAGCAGTGAGGAAAAAGGATCAGCTTTCCTGCTGCCTCTACCTGGTGCACAGTTCAAGAAAAGGGAGGAGCTTTGTTTCATTTTCAAACGCCCTAGTGTCCATCTGGGCATGCCTTTCACTCCACTGTTACCATATGGTTTGATTTACACGTGTCCAATTCAGTAGACCAAGTCTCACAACAGACCTTGCAGTGGTACAGACTGGCAACCTAAACTGATCTAAATGAGTTAATTAAACCAGTTCTCAGAGTTGTAAACAAACCTTTAACTGCTGCTCCCATAGTCTGAGCACAGGTTTGCTTAAGAAGCCCTAAAGTCATAGAATCATAGAACCACAGAATGGTCTGGGTTGGAAGGGACCTTAAAAGATCATCTAGTTCCAATCCCCCTTTCCATGGCAGGGACACCTTCCACTAGACCAGGTTGCTAAAAGCCTCATCCAACCTGGCCTTGAATACTTCCAGGGAGGGGGCATCAACAGCTTCTCTGGGCAACCTGTTCCAGTGTCTCACCACCCTCACAGTAAAGAATTTCTTCCTAATATGTAATCTAAATCTACCCTCTTCCAGTTTAAAGCCATTACCCCTTGTTCTATCACTATCTGTCCTTGTAAAGTCCCACCCCAGCTTTCTTGTAGCCCCTTCAGATACTAGAATGCCGCTATAAGGTCTCGCCAGAGCCTTCTCTTCTCCAGGCTGAACAGCCCCAACTCTCTCAGCCCGTCCTCAGGAGCTCCAGAGAGGAAAGGTGCTCCAGCCTATTATCATCCTCATGGCCATCCTCTGGACTTGCTCCAGTAGGTCCATGTAAGTCATTGAGCATGATGCAAACACAAAGCTTTGATGCTAATTAGCTGGGTAGGTTTGGGCCAGGTCTGTCAGCATGTTTTCCAGTGCTCTGTCTGCCTCTCAGATAGTCAGGATTTCACAAGTTTAAACAAGTACTCCACATGGGCAACAGCCTGCCCTATTCAATTCCATTGAGTAATATCCTAATAGGAGCAGGCATGGACAGCTTATGGGTTTGGTCCTCTTTTTGTAAAACATTTACATTTTTCTACTTCCATTGGCCTTAGAGAAATATGCTTCAGGGTCAGGAACACTTGACATAGCAGAAGAAAATGAGTGTTGTTTCTGTCTCCTTTTTGGGACATTTATGAGTCCTTTTCATTAACAGTTTTTATAGACAACTTGCACACAGTACCAAAACCTAAAGATATTTTCCTCTTAAATAAACAACAGATTGAGACAAAGTAATCATCATAAAGGCTACACAACGCACATGGCAGAACTCTCCCTGGTAGCTCCCTGATAGCAGCACCCATAGTAACCAGAAAAGATTTAATACTTTATTGGCTTTTGTGCTTGTAGTTTTTTGTGGTTTTGTTTTTATTTTAAAAAGGAAAAAGAAACATTATGTTATGAACAGAAAGTGAAAGACAAAAAAGGAAGAGGTTTCCATTCTGTTGTTCCCAGATGGACGTCCTTTATGAATTTTGCCACAGATTTAGGATATGTACTGTTTCATACTAGACTTGATAACTCAAAAGGTTTTAGTACAGGGCTATGTTATGGTAGAGATGAAACAGGCAGATATCCAAGACTTATCTAGATCCTGGTCTTGTGATGATTGGAAGCTCTTACTTTTTCCCTGACATGTCTTTTATTCTCTGGTCTAAGCCATGTTTATTCTTGACCTAAAGAGCTTGAATGAGTGAAACTACTCAGTAGGAAAAGTGAACTTAAGAATGAATATGCAAACAATAAAACATACTTATACCCAGTAGTGACATCTATGATGTAATATAATGACCAAGTCATTATATATTCAAGCAGAGTATTCACTGGAAGTTCCATTAGGGATTTTGCTTTGCTTCTACTTGTTCTTTTACAAAGCAGTAGTTTATTCTTCTTTCTTTCTTTCACTGCCTTGTGGGGTGGAACTCCTATATCCATAATTGAAAAAAAATATTTTTGACATATATACAAATCCATGAGATCTGTATACACATCAAATCAGAGCACTTTAATAAGCAGAAGTTTTGAATTTGTTGTGTGTTCTGCAGAAGAAAAGTTACTCATCATTTCTGTGAAAAAATGCATGAGATGCCTACATTATCTGAAGTTTGGCAACTTTCCCCTCCTAAAAATAGACAGAAGTTGTCTTTATGCACTGCTTGTTAATGCTACGTGTGCGATGTCACTGATGCAAAGGTCACTAGCTGAAAAATTAGGGTTTAGCAAGTAATTTGAAATTACATAGAAAAAAAAAGCCAGCTTAACTAGTCATAAACCTTGCAAACAGAGCCTGAAGAAAAGCATATGAAAATCTTTCTATTGCATTTGTGAGAGGCTTTTTTCAAGCCCAGATTAAAACACGTATAAATAAAGAGAGAAAGAAAGAGAGAGAAGTATGAGAATCACAAAATCACCTTCACTCCTTCTTTCCTCATATTTA